CATCCATCCATCCATCCATCCATCCATCCATCCATCCATCCACACATCCATCCATCCAAACCATCCATTTACACATCCATCCACACATCCATCCACACATCCATCCACCCATCAATCCATCCATCCATCATCAATCCATCATCCATCCATCCATCCATCCATCCATCCATCCATCCATCCATCCACACATCCATCCAAACCATCCATTTACACATCCATCCACACATCCATCCATCCATCATCCATCCATCCATCCATCCATCTATCCATCCATCATCCATCCGTCCATCCATCCATCATCCATCCACCCACTCATCCATCCAAACCATCCATTTACACATCCATCCACACATCCATCCATCATCCACCCATCCATGTACACACACACACACACACACACACACACACACACACACACATACACACACACACACACCACTAGGAATCAAGGTAATATGCTGGTTAACAGCCCTGCAAACAGATGGTCCAAATTGGAATTCTGACTCCATTATTTCCCAGTTGTGTGTATTTAGCATTCTGCCTTATCTTTAAGTGGGATAAATAATTAACATACTTCCTAGGATGATTTTATCAAGTGAATCAGTACAGGAAAAGTACTTGGAACTCTGATTTCTGTCTAAGATGTACTTAATAAATGTTTTCAACAATAATTCACATATTACTTTATCGTATACATACAATGTTTTTATAATATACTAGAATCTGTAATAAGGGTTTCTTCTAGGAGGTGGCCTGTTTTTCACTTTACACCTTTATATTGTATAAAGATACATGTGTTTATGTATGTATGTATGTATGTATGTATGTATGTATGTCATTTTAATCTCTGTTAAATGTTGCTGGAGTCCAGTCAGGCATGAAAGGACTGTGTCTAAGGCAGAGATGCAAAGGTGGAAGTGAAGGTGAACATTTAGATGTTTCCAAGGTTGGATTTGTGAATAGAGATGAGTCACAGAATCAATGACAACTTTGTTTCAAAATTGAGAAATGCAGGGAACAGACTCAATGTAGACCAGGGACTGAGCATTTGAAAGGCAAGAAATGAATGCTGGTGGGGGGGGGTAGGGGGGCAGTGAGGGCTTTCTGAAGATTTAGCAGTTCTGTGGGTGTTCTGTTCCTCAGCTTTGTGGGGCTGTGATAAGATGTCTGAGGTCATCGCCTCTTTTTTGGATCACTGTTTCAGAGGACTCAGTCCATTCACTCAGCCCCATTGCCTTTGGTCCTATGATATGTAGAATGTGCCTAGGAGCCTCCCATCTCATGGTATCATGGGAGCAAAAAAGAACAAGGAATATCAGGATCCCATTAGCCCCTAGTGACCCAATTGCCTTCTACTAGGCTCCACTTTCTAATGTTCCGCCACCTTCTTATAGTGCCGTGAAGGGGACCAGCCTTCAGTAAATACATGGGCCTTTGGGGGGCATTCACAATCTAAACTAGCAGGTGAGGAGCTTATTGTCCTCCCAGGAATAGAGCAGCAAATATTCAACCTCCACGTCCAACGTTTCCTGAGACTTTCTGAGAGTCGTGCAGTCTTCTGATTTTCAGATGCTTACAGTTCCCCTGGCAACTGCTTTTTGCTAAGCAGCTTTCTTTGATGTGCTAGAAACCAGCTAAGGATAAAGTCAGGATTCGGAGTTTAATGTATATATTGCTATTGCCCATGCCTACGAATGTATAGTTAGCATCATTGGTGGATTACAGTGGCAGTCTCCTGTCCTTGACTTAATGCACTGTCACTTATAGCCTTATTCTCCACCTTGCCTGGGAGTTGAGCTATTTCAATCTCCCTTGTAGTAGTGATGGGCTATCCATGTCTGCCCTAGTCACTGATGGCCAGCAGTATTCATGTCTGTAGGTAGGGTGGCTAGATGCAGAACAGAATACTCTGGGCTCAGGGAAAGTACATTAGGAACATGCTTTGTTGAAGGTTCAACCTACTTGATTATGTCTTTACTAAACAGATTTTTTTTTTTGATATGGAAGGAAACAGATAAGGAAGCAGAGATGTCAGCACTTGGGGGTGGAGTGAGGGTGTGACAGAAGAGAGACAGGGAAAATAGGTCCAGAGTAGAAGAGGGTAAGGAAGGCAATTCAGAAAGAGAATTGTGCTGTGGTGACTTAAGAACCCCAGGGACATTTCTGGAGTTCTTAAAGGGACAATCATTAGTTGCTTTCAAACCGACATTTCAGTCTGTGGGGTTTCTGGGTACATTTGGTAGACTTCCACGTTTGTTTGGCAAGATTCTCCAAGGCTCATCAATCCCCTTAGGGTTCATCACCCAGTCAGCATAGAGAGTGGGTGAAGAGTTCTGCTGACCCTTCCCAGGGATGCTGTGGCCTGTGAAGGGACCGTACCTCCAGGGCTCTTAGAGATCCTGACACAGGATCACTGCATCGCCCACTCACGTCGGCACTCAGCATGGTTGTGTGCTCTCATTTCCCAGAGAGCTTGAGTCCTTATAGGGGATTTTGCTCTTCGCTGCTGGCAGACTTCCGCATGAAGCATCTGGAGATGAAGTGTGTTTGTGTCACACTCACTAATGGTGGTGAAGTCTTCATAAGGCCTGTTTAATCTATCAAGGGTTATGTGCGTGTGTTATAAATATGCCTGGGCTTAGTGGCATCATCAACAGTTCCACGGGGGGAAATAGAGAAGTCACATCGATCTTGCTTAATGGAACACTTTTATGGTAAAAATTTAACACATCTCCAAGTAATTTTATTAATTCCAGATTTATTATTATTTTTTGTTTTCTTTGCCCTCAGTAAACCAACACATAAACCATATTAACTTGTTACCAATGTGGAGCAGAAACAAAGCTTCCTTTTGCTAATATATATATTTTTTATGAACTGCTTTTGTAATCATACGGCTTGGCATTTTGAGACCCCCGTGTCACACTGGACCACATTGCCTGAGACTGATCCCTTCTTTCTCTCTGGTCTGAAATAGAAAACGCAGATACTGAGTTGCGAGGCATCGTCAGGCCTCCGTCAGGGCCCCTGTCTTCACCTTGTCTCCCCTTTCCCACTCCTCCGCATGGTGACACTCATGAGGCAGAGCCTCTCGCAGGTGTGTGGATAGGACAGACACTCCCTGGTCACATGTTAAACATTGCTCAAACATGTGTGGTCCAACTCTCCATGAGGACTTGTTGCTGTGACACTTTCGGTGGCCTCTTACATCTGCACGTAGCCCACAGCACCAAGAGATAGTGAATTGCAGATTTTGAACACTGACAGAATCAAGGAATGAAGAACCAGTGTGGAGAAGCAACTTTAATCTTTAAAAAGTATTGTCTGAGCTTTTCAGAGTTCTTTCCAGCTTCCGAAGGATTGAAGGTGGCTGAAGAGTCAGGGTGTTCGCTCTCACTCACATGGAGAAGCAGATGTGTGTCAGGCGTGTTCACAGCCTGGGCCCAAGGTGGTCTGTGACCGTGGCCCCGGTGACTCTGCGGCTGTAAGAAGGTCCCACGTGCCCAGCCAGCCCTGACACGGTGTGTCCTCCCTGTAGGTCCATTCATCAGTGTGGTCCTGTCAAAGCTGGAGAACATGCTAGAGAACTCTCTGCACGTCAACTTGCTTCTCATTGGCATCATCACCCAGCTGGCCAGCTACCCCCAGCCACTCCTGCGCTCCTTCCTCCTCAACACCAACATGGTCTTCCAGCCCAGCGTCCGCTCTCTCTACCAGGTATGTTACGGCCACGCCTGTTTCTCTTCTCTTTCCCTTCCTCTCACGGTTTTGTTAGTTTTCAAAATCCCACATCCCATTCATTTGCTTTCCTTCCCTGTCCTATTAAGCTGGTTGTGTCGATTATTCTAGACAAACTGCAAATCTTCATTTAGTGTGATGTTTTGAGGGTACCTTACCAGGACCACACAGGCAGTTAAAAATGAGCAGGCGTCTGATACCATAACAGTTCCCGTAATGAGGGCTGGACCCAAAAGATGTATTGGGAACAGTAGACCTTTGCTGTAGAGCAATAGCATCATTCACGTGGTTTTTGACAGGTCCTCGCGTCTGTGAAAAACAAGATTGAGCAGTTCGCTTCCATGGAGAGGGACTTCCCAGGGCTCCTCATCCAAGCCCAGCAGTACCTGCTCTTCCGCGTGGACATGTCTGATGTGACCCCTGTGGCACTCACCAAAGGTCAGGAAGCTCTCTCTCCCCACCGTGTCCGTCCTAGCCTGGTCCCACTCCCCCACATTCTGGGTTGCGTTTGCAGGCATTGCTTGGCATCTGGACCCTACGGGCATCAAAGGATATTTTTATTTGTGTCCATCTTAGAACAGCCTCTTCTCAGATCTGGAGGAAGGGCTCCCTGGCCTCCACAGAGGCTCTGGCTGGCTATTCATTTTCCTTGCTGAGGTGGTTCAGGGAAGGAGCTGATGTGTGAGATGGTGCTAAACTCCAGTAAATCACAGCACCTGTGGACCACAGAGAGGCATTATGTGGACTCCTGGAACCATCTTTCGGCCACCTCTGCCCTGCAGATGCCATCTGTTCCCTTTATTATATTTTCAGAGCATCTTGCACACACACACACACACACACACACACACACACACACACACACACACACACTTTAGGACTCTAGGAGGTGGATGCTGTTAGTTAGGATGAGAAGTGAGGATTGCCCTCAGCCTGATTCCTGACAGAAGAGCCCTGCTGGCCCCTAGGCCTGGTGAGCACTGCTGCTTGGCTTTGTTTTGGTTCTGGTTAGACAAATCTGATGCCCATTGTCTTCTGAGCTGTGACATGGGCCCTGGTGAGCACAAATGAGCAAATGTCCAATATTGCTCTGGCTTTACCACAGTTGTCCAGGTGTGGAACAAGGCTTCCACGGGGCAGGTAAGCAACGAGGAGACTTGGGCCTAAGGGCTAAGGCAAGTGGCCAGGAACAAGGCTGGGAATGAGAGGCAGAAACATAACTCTGGGAGAAACTCACACCATCAAAAGAAGCTGAAAAGACTCTGGAACTGTGTGCAGCCGCTGGATCGTGTCTCCATGTGTTTGCTCTGATCTTGGTCACTTTGCTTCACTGGGTCTCAATGTCTCAATGTCTCTATGTCTGGAGGTGGGGCTATGGATGAAACCCAGGGCCCCCAGCAGGTTAAGCACACGCAGTACCACTCAGCAACATTCTCTCCCCTTCCCTTGACTTTCAAAGGAAGGATTTGTTCATCTCTAAGGTACTTTCTGGCCACAGCAAGGACTCTGGTTGTGGTGAGCTCCTGGGGTACTGCCCCAGATTTCCAAAGAAAGTTGCCGAGGTACCACTGGTAAAATGATGGGAAGTGAAGGCAGGCGGTTGAGGGAGGGGAGGAGAGCTGTGTTGGGCGGGAAGGTGGGATTGAGGCCCTGAGGCCTCTCAGCCACTCCAGCCGCTGCTCTGTGAGCTCTGCTGCCCCTGAGGGAGCTTGTGCTGCTGTTCACCGTGTGAGAGAAGGTGCCTCGTTTGCCTTTGTGTTTGATAGGTCAGTGCCAGAGCTCAGTGCCTTCAATCATGGCTGTCTCCGATTGTGTACGAGCGCATGTACAGGTGGGCTTGGGCTGTGTGTGAGCCCTGACCCCAGCCAGCTTAGCCGCTTTGGCCTGGACCCACTCACGTGCGCCATCGCAGGATGTCTAGGATGGCCCGCACATCTTTGCCTATTGAGTGGGGCGACAGGATGTTTGTCGCCACTTGGCAGGTTAGTTCAGGCTAGCAACACACCTGGCTGTGGAGCTCCGGGAGTGAAAGCAGGAAATGTAGCAAGCACCTGAGGCTCGGGCTGAGAGCTCACTCAAGGTCACGTCCGCTGCTTGGGGCTGGCTAAAGCAAGCCTCTGGGTGTTGTTCTAAGTGGGAAGAGTGGTCAAGAATGGTAGCCACGCCGGGCAGTGGTGGCGCACGCCTTTAATCCCTTCTCAGGAAGGAAGGAAGGGAGGAAGGAAGGGAGGGAGGGAGGGAGGGAGGGAGGGAGGGAGGGAGGGAAAGCCAGCCCACATAAATACTTTAAAACTATACAACAATAGTGCTGGGCTCTGACTTACACTCGGAGCCTCTAACTGAGCGCTGATTCTAGAAGGGTGGCCCTCTGATTCTAGATGTCAGCCCATTTTATAGAGAAGAAAACTGACCTGGTGAGCCAGGCCAGGGGATCACTCAAGTCTACTTACTGTGACACACTGAAAGGCCATTCCCTGGTGGCAAGCCAGCTCAGGTCTACCCCAGCAACTGTGGGAACCGCCCGAAGGATGATGCCCCTGCAAGTTTCTAGATTCCTTTCCTGCTCTTCTGCCTCATGAGCAAAGATTCTTGGATTCAAGCTGGGCAGATGCACCTTAGCAGTGACACTTCTAACTCCCAAGTCATGCTAGATACATACCCACAAAAAGCCTGGTTTAGAGGAGGGCCGAGTTGGAAAGAGAGAGCTGGAAACAACAAGGAATACAAGGCACTCTGGAGAGGAGCAGGGGTGTGAAGAAATGTGGGTCACACTTTGTGCAAAGCATTTTTGGTCCTCAGGAACAGACCGGCCAGAGGCTGTGAGACACGTTCTCAGGTGGGTTTGACCCTTGGTGACACTAAGTACAGCACAGGTAAACGAGCAGTGTGTGGCTGAAAAACTGTGCAAGCCTCTAGGACACGGGGCTGGAACCAGGGCAGGGAGGGGCTTGAGGGGATGTGGAGCAGGAACCGCACAGGCTGTGGGAAGTTAGCAGCTGCTGAAGAACTCCATATGCAGTCTAGCGGTCCCCTGTGTACTTGACACCCAGTGACCCCCTGGATCCTTACAATCATCCTAGGCACTTTTGACAGGTCAGTGGAAGCGGAAGCACAGAGAGGTGGAGCCCCTTGCCTGGAGTAACCCAGCCAGGAGGCGACAGAACCTGCTCTTAGCGCCTCTGAAGCTTAGGAGGATGTAGGTGAACAGAAATGTGGAGATGGAGTTCCAGACAGTGAGCAGTGAGCACAACACAGACTGTGGTCCGAGCAGGAAGCCTGCAAGTGTCCCGATCCCCAGTGGGATCCAGGCCAGCTTCATCTGTAAGCTTTGATGGCCCGAGGGAGAGCTATTGTGCCTGAGAAGCGGAGGAAGGGGTTGCCAAGGCTGCCCTGTGGACCTCAACGTTGTTCCCAGTCTTGTTCATCTCCTGTCAGGGCATGTGAGGAAGAATTTCTGGTAGGGGTAGTGGGGGACATCTTCTCAACTTCTCTAGTTCTCTGTGACATGAACTGTGATAAGCTTTAATCCAAAAGGATATTTAAAGCAGCAAAGCGGAGGATTTTTTTTTAACACTGAAGACTATAGTAGTGAGATGTGGAAAGTACTATAAATGTCAAGCATTTTTAGTGCTGTCGTTAAGCAACACTCTGAAAAGTGTTGAAAAATGGGGCTGAATTCTAAGAAGCAGCCAAAATAATGAAGAGCTGGAACGTAGAGATTTAGAAGGAGTAATGAGATCATTTGGGTAGGGGGCAGAAGGTGGCATAAATAATTCCTACAAATATATGAAGGTTGGAGATCCCAGGAATTAAAGAGTCAGGGATATTGGACGATTTTAATTAATTAGTAGGGCTGATGTGGTCTAAAAATGCAAATCAGTTAGATATGTTAGAACTCGGGCTCTGTCATCTCAGACTCGTGTTACTGAAACGGGGATGCAAGCCTCTGGCAATGCTCTATAAACGCTGGCTTCCCAGCCTTTGCTACCACTGGATCCTGATGGCTGCATGAGACTCTTAGTCTGGTCCTCGCCATTATTTCTGGTGATCTGGAGGAATCTCTCACCCTTGTGTTTTGAAGCTGCAGGACCCAGCCAGGAGGAGCTGGGGTTTCTGGGAAGCCCTGGAGGTCATAGCAACAGCTGCAGAATACAAGAGCTTAAGGAGCTGCACCTGGTGACCAGGACACCCCCCCCACACATACACACACTGGGGTGTTAGGAGAACAGAGGGGCCACAGGTGTCCTTGGTAAATTTCCCATGAGCCCAGTCTCCACTCAGCTGATACTAGTGGTAGCAGGTACTGTTGGAAGTCCGCCTCTTTGTCTGTCTGTCTGTCTGTCTGTCTGTCTGTCTGTCTGTCTGTCTGTCTGTCTGTCTATTTATCTATCTATCTATCTATCTATCTATCTATCTATCTATCTATCTATCTATCTATCTATCTATCTATCTATCTATCTATCTATCTATCTAT